TGTTTCTTTCTGTTAATCCTCACGCGAGGATATTTTCCATTGATTTTTAAAGTGAGTGGAAGGTAGGGGGGAGGGAGAGAAAGAAACAAAAGAGAGAGAAACATCGATGTGAAAGAGGCACATCAATTGGTTGCCTCCTGCACGCACCCAGACCAGGGCTGGAGGTCCAACCTGCGTGCCCCTGACCGGCAACTGAACCCGCCACCCGAACCCGCCACCCGCGGGTGCACAGGCCGACACTCTAACCACAGAGAGACTCCAGCCGGGGCAGGTGCCCCCCTTTCCTCTCCATCCCCCACCCGCCCTGGATTATTCTAATTGGCATACAAAAATGCCGCTCTCGCTCATCTACACGTTTCTGGATTTTCATTTCTCTCCTTTCCCCACAGCAAGATAACTCGAAAAGCTTGTAAATGCCAGCTGCCTCCAACTTTTCCCTGTTAACCCATCCTTCTCAGCCGTCTGCATGTGGCCCTGTCCAGAGCCCCGATGGCCTGCACTCGAACCCCAGTGGCCAGCACTTGGGACTCCTTCCTCTTCCTCGACAACAGATCGCTCCCCCTCGCGGCACCTTCTCCACGCGGCCTGCGGTTGCCACACTCCTCTGGTTTTCCTCTCCCCCCTCTCAGCGCTCTTTCTCTGTTTCTTTCGGGATTTTATTCTCATCGGCCTGGTTTAGATCTTCGGCCCCTCTCTTTTCTGTCTGTGCCCGCTCCCTTGGTGACCTCACCCAACTGCACGGCTTTAAATACCATCTACTCTCTGGTGTCTTCAGCTTGGACATTTCTCCTGAACTCAGACTCATCTCGCCAGGGGCTTCCTTGACCTCCCCCGTTGGAGGTCAAACAGGCACCGCAAACTTAAGATGCTTGAAGCTGCTCTTGCTCCCCAACCCTACTTCTCCCAGTCTTTCCCCAGCCCATTCCAAAGCCCAGCTGGTGGGTAGCCAGGTCTCCTCTAGACTGTACAACTATGGCACAGAACGAGAAGCCCTGCGCTCAGAGCATTCGCTCAGGCAGGCGGCGTGTTCCTCCACCACCGGGTGTCGGCTTCTCTATTTCACTGTACGGTGGAGCTGATACTAGTGACCACCTCACGGGGCTGTGGTGAGCTCTGAATGGGAAAATATATGCAGAATATGAAGCACAGGGCGTGGCTATTACAAGTATCATGACCCTAAGTCATAGGCCTGAAGAACCTCTAAACCACAAAAGAATAAATCATATTGATTCTCACTTTTGTGTAAGGAAGTATTTGCGCTGGTAAAACCTTGACATTTGACTCCCATCTTGACCCCGTACATTACCTCTCCTGCTTCCTGCCCGCCCTACTGAATTCCCCTTCTCTAGCATATGTGTGTCAACATGCCAGGTATAATTCAGTCCATATTTCTTTGCAAATTGCAGGAAAAACATATTGTCTCTCAATGTTTAATGTGAAAATTCAACAGCACGCTTGTATATTAGTGGATACTTCATGTGGGTCAGTCTATGTGTTGGTGCCAATTTGTTTTCACTCTAGTGTCAGTTGAGTTGGGATATTAAATTATACAAAGGGATGTAATGGCCAAGATCGTAGAACGGCATAAAAGTGAACTGTGAATAAAATATATTCTTAGTTGCAGATTATTGGGCAAATCCATGGATTTATGAAGATGTCTAGTAACCTGGAACAAGTAATTGAAATCTACCATTCTGTGACTAATTTTGCAGAACAAGTGAGATCTCCCCTTTGTTTTTGATAAAATGATTTGTGTTTGACATGAGACAGGGCCATGCTTCCGAGAGGAGGCTGCCTCCTTTCAATAAGAGAGAGAGAGGGGGGTTTCTAGTGGGTTGCTAGGATCCACTTCTAGAAGAAACAGTTACTAAGGAGATGGAACATCTGGAGGCCGATTGTCCTGATCCACCAGGAGGCCCAGCCCATCTGGTGTCCAAACAAACTCTGTGGCCAAAGAACCCCAGGGAATGGGGGTGGGGGAGGGAAAACACCGGCGCTCAAAAGTGAGGAGAGGGCTGCAAACCTACTGTGACAAAGACAGAGGCCAGGAGCAGGCCCACGGAGTAGATTAGTCCCCTGCTGTTCAGCCGAATCTGTAACAAAAAGATGAAACAGAATTAGTTTTCCAAAGAGGCCTGTGCTCAGTGTGCGGCACTCAAGCACCTCTGAGTGAGTCCAATTTTCTCCTTCAGGAGGGGAAACATGGGCGGCCTCTGCAGCTACTGCAGCTTATGGTGGGAATGCGCACGTTTCTAAAACACCCAGAGCACGTCCGGGCCTGGTCCACGCTCAGCCAGTCCCACGCTTCCCTCCAAGGGTGGTGGCTGCTGGACTGCCCCAGGCCACTTGAAGCCTCCGTGTGTGCTGCCTGATTCTTGTTGCCCACGAGGCCTCCCCGTGGACCTCACCTCCAGGGAGTTTCCTAAGTTTCACAACAAGGGTGATGGGAGCAATGTTTTCAAAAGTATTACTAAAGTTTTTATCTCTTTTGCATTAAACCATCTGTGACCTCCACACTAACTTGATACGAAGAGGGGGGTGAGGGGTGCTATCACGAGCAAGCAAAGAGGGAAGTCAACATTCCGATCCTGATGTATATTAAAGGGTTTTGTTCGGTTTATGTTTTCACAGCAATGCAATAGGGCTCACAGCCAAACTTTGAAGAGCCTGAAAGAAACAATTTTTGGAATTCTTAAGGAGCCATGCTGTCCAATAGAATTCCCTGCAAAGACGGAAATGTCCTACATCTGTGCTGTCCCAGGGAGCAGCCGTCAGGAACCTGTGGCTGTTGAGCTCTTGAAAGGGGGCTCATGCAACAGAAGTACAAAACTTTTAAATTTACCTTTAATAAATTTAAATTTCCACTTAAAGAGCCACATGGGATTAGTGGCTGCAGTGTTGGGCAGAGCTGGTAAAGGGCCAACCTGGCCGACAAAGATCACACAGCGTTCCTTCCGTGGCGTGGAGAGGACGCCCTTTCTGCTTTGCCCTAGGTCAGGAGGCGTGCCTTAGAGCAGCCGTGCGCAGGGTGCTCCCTGGGCCAGCAGCAGCAGCCCCTGGGGGCTGGTTAGAAATCAGGGTCTCAGGCCCCAGCTGACCTCCTGTATCAGAAACTACAGGGTTGGGGCCCATCGATCTGCATTTTAACAAACCTTCCGGGGGCTTAAGAACCAATGACTTAAGGAAAGTACTAAGGTTAAATTTGCTTCTGGGGATGGGACTTGGATAGTCAGTTTTCACCAGTTCTCTTGAGAAGTCTTATGTGTATCCAGGTTTGGGGACCACAGCCCCCCCCCCCC